GAATCATCAGAGATACCAAACTCCAAAACAAGCCTACTGCTGGTTTAAGCATATAAAAGATAATTACTGGCTGTCAAACAACAAACCAACATAATGACTCTAACTTCATCAAACTGATAAAAAAGGAATTTAATCAGAGTAATGAATCAAACATAATATTGGAACAGTCTAGCGCAAAGGTAGATGCAAACTAGTGGGAGTAAGGATTCAACTATTTAGGTCAAGCATGATAGAAAGAAACAAATGATTAACATAAGTAAGATTTTCTAACAGGATAATAATGCAAATAATAGTAACACCACCACCAACACCACCACCACCAAAAACAACAACAATGACAAACAACAATCTTTCTAAAAAAAATAACAATAATAATGGAAACCTGTAAAGCATTAATTTCCTTCAATTTGACAACACCGTAGCCATCCGTTATTGGCATTCGTTGCATACAAATCCAGAACAATAACAACAAAAACAGCGGCAGCAGCAACAACAACAAAACCAACGGTAACAATAATATGGCCCAGGAATATCTACATAAAGGGATACGCACTCTTTGCTCTTGGAATTTCGTGGCACAATTATTATTGGTGTGTCCAGTGACAAGTCCAGCTTTACAGCTGTGGCACCATCTATCTCGTATTTCTGAATCAGCCATTCCACACCACCAACTTTATCCACAAGTCGAATAGCTTCCTGAGTTTGTGGATTGGCGAGTTCCATGAAGTATGCTGTTATCTGTAGATCGCATTTTTCCAGAAGTCTATGATTAAATCTTTGGATATAAAACTACTCATTAATCTTAACAATCCAAAACTCAAAAGGAAGAAGAAATTCTTATAGCCTCAACAAAATAAAGTGTCTGTTTAGAGTGCGGCCGCAGTCCAATTAATATAGGGCAGTGGATAGCACCATTCTGGCTGCCACACCAAAACATTTCCCAAGACAAAATGTCAATCGTTTTAAAATGTTGAATCATAAATAACACTGTCAATAATCTCCTCATAAAGCAATCTCGCATCCATAAACAATGAATAAATCTCATCATGAGAAAATGAACTGCGATTAAGCAGCAGCTTATCAAAAAATGATTTACATCGATGGCACGGTAAATAACATACCTCCTGAACAAATCTGTAGAGGAAAACAATACGCACTGCAGAAAGTCGTCCACTCAAGCTATAGTCATATCCAGCATAATCATCATCTTCAACATTGTATGACTGAAATGTGAACTACAGAAAATAACAAAACAACTTAGCCTCAAGACAATTAAATGAAATGCTCCAAAGAAAAAATTGACCCAAGTTAAATACTAAGAAATTCAGATGCGAAACACTCGTCACCCCCAAGTGGAATGCTGACACTTCATATGTAGTTGGATTTAGGGGAAAATAAGCACTCATAGTACAAGAGCCCAAAATTACCAAACTATAAATCAGACATCCAATCATGTATGCATTATTTTATGCATTATTGATCTTATCAAAATTCACCAACCATAAAAGCTCTAGAACCAAAACAGAGTACCTTAATAAGTGACTCAGCTCCCTGATCACGTATGTCACAAAGCCATCCCCACCAATGATCTGGACCGAGAGACATACCACAAAGTCTCAAATTACCCAAGGTCCCTTCAATTGAAAGAGAGCCCGGATGAACCTAGAAAAGCATATAACAATTAAGCAATAACATTGACAGTAAACACAAATTTAAAATAGGGAATTCCAATTGTCCCCCATGTTTTGAATATTGCTACTAAAGATTTGGGTGGTAGAAAGACAATGGCCTTGTAAATTGAAAATCACGTCATGAGGTGAGGACTAAAAACACTAGTAAAACAGAACTTCAAACAATCCATACTTCAACCATTTTCTTAACTAGAAGTAATTGACCTAGCCCGGGCTCAAGTAAAAAAAAAAATTAAATATGATACTAGGTGTACAACAATATGATACTAGGTGTACAACATGCAACAAATGATTCGGAGACACATACAAAACAAGTATAAGAAAATGCAAAAAGGTCCACCAAGGGAAAACAGAATAATGTTGCCATAATATTCTAAAATACAAGACTTAGGTTCTCATAAGAGCCTAAAACTTATGGCATGACGCTTACAATACATATCAATACAGGTATAGATATTGGAAACTGGAAATGTCTGTAACTTTTGTACAAGATTAAAGACAAGTGCAAAGAAAAATGCCCAAACAAATAAAACATATAAATAGCACAACAGAATAAAAGACAATAGAACTACCTAACATTACCCAAAAATTGAAAATGCCTAACAGCCTCAAATTTTTGTAACAAGTCATGTAAATGATGTGCTAACATAAACTATGTCATGACACAGTCGTCCAAGGCATGTGGAGAATGAGCATGAGAAGAGCAGATGCAAGAAATATGAAGAGCTGAAAGAACGAAATACTCTAACTTCAGGGTCATGAATCCTTTTTATGCTTACAAGTACAGGTGCATTGACTAAAATACCAATGGGCCTCCACAAAATGACTTACATGAACATAATATGGAACAATGACTAGTTCGTAACGTAGCCATTGCAAAATCCACAAATGGTATTAAGAAGCAATTAAAGGGACACTCCTAATCAAAATTCCACTCAAAGATGTGGTGAAATTCAACAACATCAGTTTGTAAGCTAGAAAGTGATGCAGAGCCTTAGTAACGATGTCCATCCCCTAGGGCTCGCATGCCAAATATGATCCAATGCAGCCTCATTAAACCCAGACTTGTACGCTTCCTCCTTAGGAATTCTTTCTGCATCAATTGGTATCAAAACACGTGATTCTTGAGCAGCAGGGGTGGAAATCCTCGATCAAGTCCATGGTTTGCTCAAATTAGGCCAGGGTTTACTAATTTTAGCCTAGAACTTAATGAATTCAACCTAGGGTTATTGGTTTTCAGCCTCAGGTTTGTGATTTCAGTGAACCTATTGCAGCAAGGAGACATGGAAAGGGAGCTCTAATGGATTTGCCCCGTGATGCTAGAGTTGAAGAGATTGAAGATCTCTGGGGACAGGTTCAGCAGCTTGCACAACAAGTCACGACTATTGCAGCAAGGAGACGTGGAAAGGGAGCTCTAATGGATTTGCCCCGTGATGCTAGAGTTGAAGAGATTCAAGATCTCTGGGGACAGGTTCAGCAGCTTGCACAACAAGTCACGAGTATCAATCATAAGCAAGACGATCTTTTGGCTCAAGAGGACATCGGATACAACACTTTTCACCGTGTGCTCCGTATGAGGAGTCTAATGAATAGGAAAGTGATAGCAGACCAACATGGGGGACATCAATCTAGAGTTTTCAATATGGGGGTGGACATTCTTAATTTTGACTCAGGTTACTTTAAAATCAGCAGGTTGTAGATTGGGATTCAAGTCAAATCTTCAATACATGCCCAGATGAACAAGAAAAATCTCTTAAGAGACCTGGTCTATGATAAGATTTAAGATGAAGATTTCAAGTATATTAAAGAGGTGGAGCATTCGAGAGATATAGAGCATTTGAATCAAAGTAGCACAAAGGAAGCGTGGTCGACTCATAAACTGTAAATTGTGGACTTGGATTTAGAGAGTAATGAAATAGATGTTAAGAAGACACTAAATTCCCAGATAATAAGAGTTGCCAGTTTCCTACATGATTTTCAATGCGAGTTCAAGGATAGCTGAATTTGTTAAATGTGCATCAATTCCTCAATATATATATCAGAATCTGTTTCCTGAGGATTTCTTTTACCACTAATAATCATTGAACCAACAAAGAAGGCCGAAGAAGGTGGTTTTGATTATGAATTCATCTTATGACACTTCAAAATGCCGAGTTTTCTCCAACCAGGGAAGACTAATGCAGGACAAAAAGATCCATACCTTAAATTTTGTTTAACTTCAAAGGATCTATATTTAAATTTAAATTTTCATTTTCGAAATTATTTTTAGAGTTTTAAAATTTTTTTAGAGATCCTAGGGTTTTTAAAAATTTTAGTATTTCAGGAGTTATTTAGAGCAGTTAGTGTACTAAGTAAAATATTTTGTTTTATTGCGAGTGAAAAATGTCATTATGAATTTTGTTTCAATTAGAACTTTTATTTCAATTAGAACTTGTTTCAATTAGAACTTTTATTTCAATTACAACTTGTTTCAATTAGAACTAGGAGTTTTTGGGCTCTTAATAAGGTATTTTCTTATACAAAGTTTTTGGGCTCTTAATAAGGTATTTTCTTATACAAAGTGGTCAATGTAGAGAATTTACAATAGATAATGGAAGCCCGTACTGTACTCTTCCTCCTTAATTTCTCAATCAATAAATTATTTGATTTTCTTCCATGAGAAATTTCAACCTCATAGTGTTTAGAGCAATCAAACAACATTGAAGCATAGTTGCTGAAAATCCCAAAGAACCCAAATTGTTTTAGGAATCGAAATCGCGGGATTGCAGCGGTCTAGAAAATTCCTGTTTTTGGAATCATTGTTCGTACAATGGGAATCGCAGGGAATGAGATTCCTATTTTTTTTGGGGAATCGAGAAACGACCAAAATTGAATTGACATTCCGCCACATATGGAATCAAGATTCTGACCTATGTGGAACTGAGATTCCTACCTCCTTGAAATCGACCGCAAGGGATCGAGATTCTGAAATCATAGGAATCAAATTTCCAATGTATGTGGAACCGATATTCTCACCAGTTTAGAATCTAGATTCCGACATATTTGAAATAGTTTCTGATGTATATGGAACTGAGATTCATGTCAGTTTGGAAATGGGATTCATATTAGTTTAGAATTGAGCTTGATCCCAACTGGCAATCAAGATTTGTAACTCTATAGAGTCAAGTGCGAAGCCCCATAGAAACAAGTTTCCTATATCAACGGTATCTCGCGCTTTATGGACTTAGAACCTATTTAAGGTGAAAAGGCTAAAATAAAATAAAATCAAAGGATATGGCAGAATTAAAGGCAGGGTCTATGTTTTTTATGATGGTATTAACACTGAAGAGGATGAAGAAGAGGAGGTAGCCATGGTTGGTACTCCAAGCTCTAAGGGTAAGAGGACTTATGGGTCTAAGAAGCCTTGTATGAGATGGCCCAATGATAGTTTTTTCTACACCTAACCCCGAGACAGTAATTGAAAAAAGGAAGGGAAAGGGGGAAAAACAGGTGACACTTGAAAATAGATTTAAGAAGGAAGACAGGGGCCGGAGATTCAGTATATTGCTCGATGGTTATACCATGCGGGCATTTCTTTTAACACCACTCGCTTGAGTAGCTTCCATACAATGTTGGAGGCAATAGGGCAATTTAGGCCAGGTTTGAAAAGCTCAACTCCATATGAGATTGGCGAGCTGCTACTGAAGAAAGAAGTTGAGGTTACTCAGGAATATCTCAAGCCCCATAAAGAGGAGTAGGCTAAATTTGGGGTTCTTTTAATGACTGATATGTAGAGTGATAGAAGGAGTACCATGAATTTGTTAGTAAATTGTCCCTTAGGTATAGTTTGTTTGCGATCTGTTGATGCTTCTAGTGATATTCATTGCTTATTATATGATTTCTTTCATTGATAAGGGCATTGAAGAGGTCGGGGAGGAACTTGCAATTCAAGTGGTCACAGAAAATGCTGCTCCCAATCTAGCTACAGGTCATTTGCTTCAACAGAAGAGTGATAGGAGTACCATGAATTTGTTAGTAAATTGTCCCTTAGGTATAGTGATAGGAGAAGTACCATGAATTTGTTAGTAAATTGTCCCTTAGGTATAGTGATAGGAGGAGTACCATGAATTTGTTAGTAAATTGTCCCTTAGGTATAGTGATAGGAGGAGTACCAAGAATTTGTTAGTAAATTGTCCCTTAGGTATAGTTTGTTTGAGATCCGTTGAGGCTTCTAGTGATATTCATTGCTTATTATATATTTTCTTTCATTGATAAGGGCATTGAAGAGGTCGGGGAAGAATTTGTAATTCAAGTGGTCATAGAAAATGCTGCTCCCAATCTAGCTGCAGGTCATTTGTTTCAACAGAAGAAGCCTCGCATATTTTGGACTCATTGTTGTACACATTACGTACATCTTATAATTGAGGTTATTGGCGAGTTAACTATTATTAAAGGAGTTCTTTCTAAAGTTAAGGAGGTTATAGTCTTCATATACAGTCACACAATTACCCTTAGCACGATGCTCAAGTTTACAAAGAAGAGAGAGCTAGCGAGGCCCAGGGTCACTAGATTTGCCACTGCCTACCTTAGTCTAAAGAGCATGTATAGCAGGAGGATCCCATTGAGGTCTATGTTTGCTTCAAAGGAGTGGAGTAGGTGTAAGTGGTCTAGAGATGCCAAGGCAAAGAAAGCACAGGATATTATTCTTCATGGGATATTATTCTTTCTAAATATTTTTAGCGTGGCGTAAAGCATGATATAGTAGTATTTCTTCCCTTGGTGAAGGCCTTGGGCTCGATTGATGTTGATAAGCCTTCCATGGGCTTTATATATAATGCACTTGAAAGGGCTAAGAATGAAATTGCAGAGAATTTGGGCAATGATGAGGCCAAGTACGACCCAATTTGGGAGATTATAGATGCCAAGTGGGATAGCCAGCTCCATAGACCATTGCATGTAGTGGGGTTCTACTTGAACCCCAAATTCTTATATGAAGATGAAGATATTGAGGCAAAAGCTACAATTATAGATAGTTTTAACGAATGCCTTGAGAGACTAGTTTCCGATCCACATATCCAAGATAAGATATCAACATAAGAGCTCATTTTGTATAAGTGTGCTTTGATGTCATTTGGGAAAGATATGGCACTAATACAGAGAAAAAAAGACGAACCAGGTAATATATTTTGTACTTTTGCTGCCTAGTTGTCTAGTTTTCTTTCAACTTTTAGGCTCCTAAAATTATATATGATAATGTTAAATACGTAAATTAATTATAAAATTTGTCCACATATTGCAGCCCAATGGTAGAGACAACATGACAATAGCGCTCCACACCTCTAGAAGATGGCTAATCAGATCCTGAGTTTGACAACTACTTCTTCGGGTTGTGAGCGCAATTAAAGTTCGTTTGAGATGGTATTTTTCTATTTTATATGCTTTTCTTGTTTACAAGTTCATCTTTCTAATAAACATTCAGAGAAGATAAGAAGATCATAATAGTCTAGTACTCATGCATGTTTTCTTATAGCTGCAAAAGAAATAGGTTAGAGCAAAGGAAGCTCAATGACTTGGTTTATGTTAGAGAGAATCAAAGGCTCAAGGAGAAGAAAAACAAGCCAAAGAAGGATCTCGTCGCTTCGAAAAGCATGGAGAATGCATCAAATTGGTTGGTTGGGGACCTTGGTACTAATAAGGTCTTCCTCGAAGAGGGTTTGACCTGGGAAATGGTCGAGGAGACTTTGGGACGAGCTTCTGATCTTAAGAGGGCCACTCGAGCAATGACTTATGTTGATCGTTAACACTCACAGAGGAAGAGAGAGAAAGAGGAGGCAGATTCAAAAGAATCTGTCGAAAAAGAGGAATATGTTGAAGAGGGCAATGATTTTCATGATAACGGCCTCGATTTGATGCAAATGATGCAAGGAATAACGATAATGACTCTGATTCTTATTGATTCCTCTCTCTTCTCTTGTAGTATCTTTATTGTGCCATTTTGGTTTGGGCTTTAGACATTTGGATTGTGGATGTTAGATAGACTTTTTTTGTCGTTTTGTACTATTTTGTTGTGTCGTTTTATACTTTTGAAAGTCAGTTTGTTGAAGACTTGGAGTGTTGGAGACTTGATTGTTATTATGGTTTATTTTATGGATATGGAATATGGAGCATTGGAGAGTTAATTTATTATGGTTTGATTTTTGAAATTTTGAACAAGTTTATTCTCAACATGCGATATGCCGATATGTCATATGTTTGTTATAAAAACGTATGTTACAATATTTTCAAATGCAATAAATTACAAAATTAGCACAAATCTATTCATATGCGTTTGAACAAATACATGTATATATCTTAAAAACATGTACTACAGGGGACCCGTGGTTTTGGGTGCCCGCTTGGGCACTGGGCCCCGGGCGGACCACCTAGCATTTTTTGAACCTTGGTATTTCGAAATTGTGATCTTGACTTCATTATTATACAGACAAAAAAGGATTTTCTCTGTGCTATGGTATTTATTGTATGTGTTGTAGTTACCAATTATAGTTTAAAGAAGCACTATTATAAATGTGATTCGAACCAGCCTTCGCACTATTAGAAGCATTTTCTACTCCAATTACCTTTAAAAAGTAGTAACCATTTAGGAAATTGGACATTATGTAATTCGAATTGTTTTTTATTTATTTCGTATTTATCATTATTATTATTTTGCTTGCATTCACATTATGCCATTGTGGTAGGGGAGAAATTCAGTGTAAGCATCAAGAACACACATGGATACATTATTGCCTGAATTAAAAAACAACACATGGATAGAGAGAGATTTTGACATCAAGCAGGTATCTTATGGTGGTCGAAGCAAACTATCATGGTGATTGAATCACAGTTCCCTGCTCCTATGAATGGTGGTGGTTGCTCCGTTATATGCATGCTACCTCTGCCATACTCGCAAGTGCTTTGATGTGTAGTGTAGCATCTTCGCACTCTATATGTTGTAAATTCTAGATTCAAAACCATAATGAATCCAGATTCATGACATGTGGAATCAGGAATCAACAAACATGGTATCAAGATTCAATAAATGTTGGAATCGATGTTCGAAAAATTTTGGGGCAGAAATTCCACAAATAATGATATCGAGATGAAAAATTTTGGGGCCGAAATTCAACAAATAATGGCATCGAGATTCCTAAAAAGGTATGAAACTAGATTCCTAACTTATGGAATCTATATCCTAAATTCCAGGATACGGTTTCTATAAAGATCCCATGTCAGAATCACTGAATCAGGAATCCGAACCTGAATCGCAACCTCTGCAAAGAGATTCCAATAACTTTGCATTGGAGTACAAGCCATCTCAATATTTTGTCATACGCATAGGCATAGGAAACAGAGATCACCAATGGGACACTACACCCAAACAATCTCGAGAGAGGCACAAGGCAAAGCAAACTACTCAGCTCTTATGCAGGACTTACCCTTCCAAGAGTTACATGACTGGGACAAAAAAAAACACAATAAAATGTGGAAGCAAATGAACAGACAAATTGGTTTTGACAAATGAAAATACCGTCAGAGGGTCTAGTCAAGATCACACAGATAAGTAATCTTTGATTGATTACTGCAGAGACGAAAGCTGCTACCAAAAAGGAAGTAAACAGATGCATCATACATGATGATGAAGATGATTGATGTTAAAAGAGTGAGCAAGCATGAATGAGTTTTCCCCTTATGAGGATACGCAGAATGCTAGAAAGTGTATAGCCAGTAATACAATAAGTATCACGTCAAATGTTAAATGATGAAACTCCATCAACAGAACCATCAAGAACAAGATTACGCTTGCCATATCATCTCAAATGAACTATCCATGATGAGCCTATTGTTATGACCAACACCATTGAGATTGTTATGAGGTATGGAAATAAAACTACAAATAGAATCGATGCCACCAAAGTTCCAAGCACAACTGCGAATACCAACTACACACAACATTGGTCAAACTTGGCCATAAAACATCAGGAAAGCAACAGCATGAGTGGAGATCATCGAGTGAGCATGTACATCTTTCTGGTCTCTAAATTATTTAAATATTGCCACTTTTTCCAGGTCTATGGTAGCTTAACATGAGAGTATTGAGAATTCGGGTTTATAATCCCAATTTAGTCAAAACATTGGGGAGATGAGTCATTATGTCAGATTTAAAGAGCCATGGGCTCCACTGCAAGACCAGTAAAAGTACTTAATGAGCATTTGAGAGTAGCTGTTGGCTGAAATTTTGCACAATTGAAATTCATTCTTTACAAACCCAAGTTGAGATTTTTTCCTTGTTGATTTCTCAGCCTTCCTTGCCTTCTAACATCTCTGTTTCGATCAATAATTTAATATTATTTGCACACCAAACCTACATGAATATATCAATGATTTTCAGTGTGAGAATATTCTAATGCCTACACACAAGCAACAACACCATATGGACAACATATATGGCGAACAAGATATCACAATCTCCACTCACACAAATATTCAGTGCATTCATGCAAACTGACAAAGATAACCATGTAGACACATATAACCTCTGCACATGTTGCACTTAATCGGACACCCGAGATCACATGAACAAAGCATACCAAGATCCAAATGCCTAGAGGCACAAAGATTTCCTGCACACAATCTATCACACCAATGAAACAATAATATAAACTCAATAAACCTCAGCCACAAATCCATCCGAGTATATTTTATCAATAGTGTGACATTATGACACTTAGCGAGACGAACTTCTTTTATTCAGATTAAAATAATATCAAAAATTTATGTAGTCAAATAACAACTCATGTAAATTAATGCAGAAAAATAATAACACTACGTAACTTCATATGTTATGCTTTCCACCTTAAGTTAACTGCACATACAAATGGAGATGGTGCCTAAGGATGTTGACATTTATTTGAGATAACAAACATTATAAACAAAGCAACAGTGATCTGAAAAGCATTCCTTACTTTCAAATCCAGCCGAAAGCTTTCTTGTACAAACATTGCAAGAGCTGAATCATCCTCCTTGTTGAGAAATATAAGAACACTGTCAACATTCATAATCAAATAGAAAACAACTCGATCTTTGCCATAACCCAGCAAACCCTTTAACAAATGTACGCTCAGTTGCTTCCACACTTTCCGCATCTTGAGTTGATTCAGTAGAAGCAGTTCTGCCCGTAGCATTTGCATCACTTGCAGAATCCAATCCAGCATTCAAGATACTCAAATCCAACCCAAACTCAATAAGAGCAACAAGTGTGGGCCTATTGCAAAAGAAGTCCAACCTTGACATTCGAATGTTCATCTGACATGTTTTAATCAAAACAAAATCAATATTCCAGTATATGAAGATAGCACACTGATGTAAATAACACAGATAGCCTTGTCAAATAAGCGGTACAGAATCTAAAGGTCAATAGAATACCTGCATATCTGTCCCACTGTATTTAGGAGAACCAGGATGCCTTGTCAAAAGGGTAACAGACACAAAATCAGATATATCACTGTCCTGAGCCTCATAAATCCGCTAATATACTTTCCACACACCTGACCACTGTCATGAAATATGAAACTGTTCATGGGACTACTTGTACCACAGCACCCAGAGATGTCAATGGGATCAGAAAATTCGCTAGAGGGCATCTCAAGATTATTCAGTGAGTTAAAGCCCAGATTCGGTATGGAAAATTCCGGCAATGCGTCCTTAAAATTATCATCATCTTCCAACATTGGCTTGGACAACTCTGCTCCTCTCGGTGAGCCACAGTGGGCATTAACAGTGTCATCTTTCAATACGGAACATGCTAAATACTTTATAGATCCTGAGAAACGGCCTTGAAGCTCATCTTTGATTTTCAAAGAATGCAGCTTCATTTTTACAGTTAGGTCACCTCCCCAATGAACAAGATTTAACTGCAGACAGCCAAAACCTTGTTCAGAACAAGATCGCAACAGTTCAAAGCTATCGCCTGCAAACTAAATTAATTGTATTCTTCAAACAATAGAAGGATTAGAATAGAAAAACTAAATATATGGAAAGTGAACTCAAAAAGAGTAGCATTCACAAGAAAATGTACACCTTGAATAATATAAATCACAAGTAACAACAGACAAGTTTACAATGCAAACAGTAGTATTTCATTTCACTAGAAACTGCAAAACACGACACATCTGTACAATAACGAATCGAACAACTCATGAAGAAAAACCACAGCATCCTTCAAAGTCAAACGGGCATTGCCAAAGTTCGTATTTTTCACAATTCAGGATGCCAAGTTGCAGTATTTCGGCTTGGAAAAGTCCTTGAGGGTATATGCTCCTCAGTTATATAATGGAGTATTTGCCTAGAAAGGAACAATATATCCATAGAATGTGTAGCTAAGATGAAGATGTTGAGATAGATGAGTAGCAAGACATTAAAGAATAGAATTCGGAAGTAATACATCTGAGGGAACTTGGGGCTGGCTACAATAGGTGATACGATAAGGGAAAGTAGACTTAAGTAGCTGGCCATGTGCAAAGTCAACCTCGAACAGCACTATGTAGGAAGGTAAGATTCGATTTTTCAAGTGAAAGGCTCTAAAAGAGCAATGGGAAGGTCAAAAAAAACATGGATAAAAATAGTGAGAAGAAATATGGTGACTTATGGTCTGACTAAGGGTATGGCTTTTGATAGAGCGAAATGGCAGAATAGGATTTAGCCGACCTCAAATAGTTGTGATAAGGCTCAAATGATCATGATGACGATGCCTGTAAAGGACAACATGATCTAAAACTACGTAGGAATGCAGCCCTGCAAGAGAGGATTTGCAAGACATTGATTTCCTTGCATTTAGCTCTTGGGGAGTTCAATGGTATCACAAAACTCTTTAGTCTAAGAGTTTGTTGTGCCTAACAGTGAGATTAACCAAGGAGATAGAATTGTGCCTCCTTTGTCACCTCCCCCATTAGTCTCGCAAATATATTATCCTCAATGAGCTTAATGGTTTGATCAATGACCTTATAGAATTGGAGGGATTTCATGAGACGATACACCATCTACTTTCTCTGGATTGATTGGAGTGGAAGACTTGACAAATGAAAAAGCCATGTCACTTCTTACAGGACGGGTCCCCTAATTGTTGAAGATGATACCTCAAATGTAATCAGATGGCCCAACGGCACCTCCCATACCTTTGGGGGATGATATACAATACGGAGGAGATAAGTGAGATAGCACAGCATTTCAATTTCCTTTCACCACATCCTTTGTAAAGCCAATATAGAGCCTGGCGCATTGGCCCAATGATGCAGGAAGGAAAGGTCAAAAATTGAATCCACCTTTTTCCCAAACCTTAAACAAGTAAATTCAGAAATAATGGAGAAAGAACATGATTGTTAATCAAGCCAAGAGAAGAACTTTCCTTTTTCAAAAAATAAAATTCACTCCCATAACATATGCCGCCCAAAATATGACATTCAATATTTGCTAAGCCTATGGAACCCTAATTTAACTTGAGATTCAAGAAATCATTTAAGACTATAAAATACCCTTAAAAAATACAAAAATTTCAAAACTAACCTCGCGAACAGTAACAAGTGAACAATAACATGTGAGCAGTAATGGTGAACAATACCAAGAATAGTAATTGTAAATAGTAAATAAAAAATATATAAGAAAACCCTAGAATCCCCAAAAAAACTTAAAATTTTAAAAAATAAATTCTAAAACTAAAAGCAAAATATACAACCTTTAAAATTCAATAGAAATTAAAAATACATATAATTTTTCCCTCCATCACCAAGGGAGGAGTTGGAATGAAACCAATCCAAGTTGTTCATCTGTCTTCTTTATAGCATGCAGGATTTCCTCTTCTCCCTTTGTTCCCCTCCACCCCTCTTCTATCTTTGCTCCCCCCCTCTCCTATTTGTTCCTCACCACCCCACTTCCCTTTATGACCTGTATACCCTCTTGTCCCTGGTCTCTCAATGTTCCCTTCCATCGCCTTCGCGTCGCCTCCCCCTTAATCCCCGCCAAAAATAAATTAAAAAAATCATACATTTTCTTTCTCCCTCATGCATGCCTCCATGTTAGTTACATATCAAAAAAGAATATAGATGACTATAGCCTTTTCAGTAAACTTTTTAACAATATATGCCAATTTTTTCGAATTCGATGATATGCACATCTAAACTGCTGAAATAAATATGATAGAATATGATGAAGTTTCATTTATATAAATATCATAACATATATTTCAGAAACATGGAGAATCAGACCACATTGAATAGCCAAAATACATAAACACTACGCAACGCCTATAGGGAAGAATGAACAATGATTTCGCCTATGCTCATCACCGTCCAAAGTTCATCGCACAGTCACAGTTGTCCGGCAGTGTTTCACTTGTCATTTTTTTTCTACAAATCGGAATTGTCTGAAAGGACAATCTAATAAAAATATAAAAAAAGTGATTCGCAAAATATAAATTGATCGACCTACCCCTGAAAATTTATAGCGGCATTTTGGTCAATTTATATTTTGTGAAATATTTTTTTCATATTTTTATTACGTGCGCCTCACTAAGATGTACACACGCTCCAAATTTCAAAACATTGCGATATATAAAAAGAAAAATGAAAATTGAAACACTACCGGACAATCATGACTGTGCGATTAACTTTGAACGGTGATGAGCATAGGCGAAATCACTATTCATTTTCGCCTATAGGCATTGGGAAGACTTTTTTCTATACATATATATATATATATATATATATATATATATATATA